GGATACACCACTAAATCAGGCGCGGATTTAAGAGGTGAATGCTCCAGCGCCCATGAGCTAAAGGCCCATTTTGAATTTTTTAACCTATTATGATTAGTGATATACAGTTTTTCTGTTTTTTTTTTGTTCATTATTTTTTTATAGTAGATATACAGAGTGGCCCACCACTCACTGACAACTTAAATAACTTTTGATCCAGTTAATATTTTTAGTTGATTTTTTTTTTAAATAATAGTTATACGTTAGGTCTATAGCTATATCTCAATAATTAATTTTTTTACATTTTATTAAAAATATTAATTATTTTTAAATTTTAAATAAAATGTAAAAAAAAAATCTAAGATAGCTATTTTGTAGAGTAGAATTTAAGAAAAATTTTAGTAAAAAAATATCTTATTAATATTCAGTAGTAAATATTCTGTAGCGTTTTGAAGTTTGTAAAAATTTGAATTTTCATGTACTATTTTACGGTATTAAACATTGAAATACGTATTGAGAAAAGGACAGAAGAAAACGCTATCTTTTCAATATACTTTTGAATGAGAGTGATAAGTAATAATTGCCTTATCTAATTTCTTATCATGGTATTTATGCCAAGTTTGTAATGTATACACACTATCATCATATGTATACACAGTAATCATGAAAAGATAGCGTTTTCTTCTGTCCTTTTCTCAATACGTATTTCAATGTTTATAACCGTAAAATAGTACATGAAAATTCAAATTTTCACAAACTTCAAAACGCTACAGAATATTTACTACTGAATATTAATAAGATATTTTTTTACTAAAATTTTTCTTAAATTCTACTCTACAAAATAGCTATCTTAGATTTTTTTTTTACATTTTATTTAAAATTTAAAAATAATTAATATTTTTAATAAAATGTAAAAAAATTAATTATTGAGATATAGCTATAGACCTAACGTATAACTATTATTTAAAAAAAAAATCAACTAAAAATATTAACTGGATCAAAAGTTATTTAAGTTGTCAGTGAGTGGTGGGCCACTCTGTATAAGGCCCTGCATTGATCTGTAAAACTAAATCTCTAATATAGAAATTATTGAATTTTTTTATAAACACTACTATACTGTTGATAAAATAAATTTGAAAAGAAAAATAAGTGTATTAAAAAATTTATATGCAACAAATATTCTGTATATATATAAATTCTATAATATAATATATTGTATACCATATTAGAGAAGATTGGAAGAAGTATAAACGCTTGTGCAAAGAAGCCAAGTGTGCAGTAAGTAAGGCGAAGTTAAAGAGGTATGATGAGTTGTATGATAGGCTATGAAAGAAAGAAGACTAGAAAGAAGTCTATAGACTTCCAAAAGTAAGAGAAAGAAGGTTAAAGATTATTATTATGAAAGGTGTATAAAAGTGTTTATAATAGAGTACTATCCAGTGATGATAATGTGAAAAAAAGGAGGAAAAAGTATTTTGAAAAATTACTGAATGAAGAGTATCCAAAAGAGACATTAGAGAATATCTCGTGGAACGAGAGACTGGTAGATTTAATTAGTGAGAAAGAGGTGTGGGAGGTTGTGCAATCAATGAAAAAGAAAAAAGCATTAGGACCAGATGAAGTGTCAGTAGAAGTATGGATAATATTAGGCGGTGTTGTAATAAGGTGGTTGAAGGAACTTTTAAATAAAATCTTATTAGAAGAGAAAATTCCAAATGAATGGAGGAATTGTGGTGCCGATATTTAAAGGTAAAAAAGACATACAGGAGTGTGAAAATTATAGAAGCATAAAGCTTATGAGTCATTGTATGAAAATTTGGGAAAAGGTAATAGATAAGAGAATAAAAAATGAGACATCGATATCAAAAAACCGTTTGGATTTATGCTTGTTAGTAAACAATGGAGCCATTATTTTGTGTGAGGCAACTAATATAAAAGTTTAGGGAAAAGCTGTGTATGGCATTTATAGATTTGGAGAAAGCGTATGATAGAGTATCGAGAGAGGTTTTTAAGTTAGCATTAGTGAGAAAAGGAGTCCCCAAAAAATAAACTAATAGAATAGAGGATATGTATGATGGCACTTGTATCAGGGTAAAAAGCGTAGGAGGAGTAACAGAAGGTTTTAGGGTAAGAGTAGGATGAAATTAATAGAGAAATATAAGGAGAGGTGCCACAGTGCATGTTATTCGCCGACGATATAGTGTTAATAGGAGAAAATTAATCAAAGGCTAGAGGTGTGGAAATCAGCTCTTGAAGAAACGGATTAAAGAATAAGCAGGAGTAATACAGAGGTAAATAGAGTACGTGTTTGACAAAGGAGTACAGGAGATAGGTAAAATGAAGAGTTCAGTGACCATAGGTGAGGATGTGATAGGAGAGGTGGAAAGTTTTAGGATCAGCTGTGCAAAAGAGCGGTGGTATTAACGAGGATGTAAGACACAGGATTAAGTGCGGGTGATTAAAGTGAAGAGAAGCGTCTGGTATATTATGCAATAAAAGAATTCCAATGAGGCTGAAAGATAAATTCTATAAGATTGTAGTGAGGCAAGCTATGATGTATAGTTCAGAGTGTTGAGTGGTTGATAAGAAAGTAGAGCAGAGAATGAGTGTAGCACAGATGAGAATGCTTAGATGAATGAGTGGAGTGAGACTAGAGAAGATAAGATAAGGAACGAGCATATAAGAGGGAGTATAGGTGTAGTGTCAATCGTAGATAAGATGAGAAAAAGTAGACTTAGATGGTTTAGTCATGTTATGAAGAGAGAGGAATCGGAAGCTGTAAGAACAGTTATAGAAATGAATGTTGAAGGAAGACCAAAAAAGAGATAGAAGAATGAAATTGAATGCGATATGAGGACATCTGATGTGAGCGTAGAGGATGTGGGAGATCGTGTTAAGTGGAAGTTTAGGATAAGGGTGGCTGACCCCAAGTTGTTGGAATTAAGACGAGGAAGAAGAAGAAGACCTTTGAACTAAACTAGATGTTATCTGAGAAATACTTTTAACTAGAAAATGTTTTTTTTACTATTATATTATGCTATATTAACTAATTTTAAGTGATCAACAAATTAAAAATGTTTTTACAAACATTTTTATTAGATATGGAGCACCACCACCCACTGATCATCATTATCGAAGCCGTGATGAACGAACTGAAAGAAGAGAAGACTCACGTAGGAAAGTATCTAGTAGACGGCTGATGTAAACGTAAATGATATGGAACATTGTGTTAAGTAGAAGTTTAGGATAAGGGGCTGACCCCAAGTAGTTGGAATTAAGGCGAGAAAAAAGAAGCAGAAAAAGAAGACCGTATTACGGTACACAAATTTTATCCTTATAAACTAAATAATATTGGTTAAACTTAAATTAGACAAAAATTTATCTAGAATAAAAACTTTTTTATAGACAATAAGTAAGATATTTTTTTCATGAAAAATATTAACATAAAAAAATAATATATGATGAAAATGATTATGTAGCAAGAGCGTAATCTAGTATATAACTTTTGTAGGAGTTTGACTCAATTTCTTTTATTACAATAATCATGTAAAAAAAAGCAGTATTTAGGAAACTTATCTTAAAAATAATGTATTTCAATTTCCATCCCAAATTAAAACAAAAAAATGTTTTCCTATTCATAATTCCTTAAGAATACATTTACAATTTGAAATGTTATTTCAAAACAAATTTTTTTTTATTAGTTTTGATGTTACAAGATAGGTTTTTTTTAAATATTATATCACGTATTTTTTTATTTGATTAAAATTAATTGAAATAAATGAGTTCAGATAAAGACAAAACTCCACAAAACAAATTTTTGTTCTTCTCTCATCCCCAAGTATTTAGACTCTAAGATAACTGAAGTTAACTGACAATAGTTATACAAAAAGTTATACTGATACTTTCTATTATTAAATATTTTAGATAATAATTTATTTTCATATTCGACAGTTGTACTTATTGTAGTCAGTTTCACGTTATGTCACACAAATTAGATATCTTAAAATATAAACATTTGTTTATATTTTTAATTTTGAAATTATGCTTAAATGTTTTAAATTTGTTTTTCATATCTAACATTATTTCATTGATAAATATTAAATTTATCATTGAAATTGTTTTTTATTAATAAAAGTAAACATTTTTTTTTTTTTGCTATAAAAAACTTTTCAAAAAACAAAATTAATGGTATTAATAAAAAAAAGTGATATATATATATATATTACATAGCAATATTAAAAAATACTATACGAGTTTGTATATTTTTTAAAAATGATTAAGCTTTTTTGGCAGCTATCTATTTGTGACATTTTTTTTCATCACGATAAACAAAAAAGTTACGTCCAAAAAAATACTTAACAGTGCTAAGCATGTTCAATTTATGATTTTATTTATACGTAGGTACTATTTTTAAACTGTTTGTGTTAAATAATATGTGTCTATATATTAAGAGTAGCAATACAATTTTGCGAATCTATGACACTTGGTATCATGTATGATTAAAATAAACAAAAACAGTCTACTCAAAAACATAGTGTATGATACACATTAATATGGAAAATAACTAAGTAATTTGTCACCGAGGCTTGAGCCAAAAAGAGAAAAAATAATAATTGTTTTCGCCAATTCAAATTGATCGGTACTTAACTTAAAGTTTATTAACAAAAATATTTGAAGTATCAAAACAAAACATTACAATAGAAAATTAATCTTAACGGAATATTGGAACGCTTGGAACACATCAGAAAATATGATACTGTGACAATTATAGATCATGTAATACAAAAATATATCTTGTATATTAAACAGACATCTATGTAAATGGTTATAAATCTAATAAACAATAATCGGTTATATTTTACTAAAAGTAAAAAGAAAAACAAGATAATCTTATCAGTTTGCGGATAGAGATTTTATGCACAAGCAATATTGCTTAAATTTAAATAAACTATACCACACTAACTAAGTTAATTTTTTATGAATATGAATCTTTTTATATAATTTACATAAATTATATATACCTTTTTGTTTATGAAGCCGCTAATACTGCCTCTCCTAGCATCGGAGAATCGACGGTCTTCAAAAGACATCCAAATGTATTTATTAGATTAAAGAAAAAAAAAAAATAAAATTCGAACCTAAGTTGCAAACACACGTAAAATTATTTCAACTATTTTTTTTTCAATTTTAATCATGTATGCACTGAAACCTCAAGTATAACACAAAAATAGTCTAGCTAGAGGCGTGCGAAAAATATACTGACGTAAGTGGATAGTAAATGTGAGGATAACATTTTTTGGCACCATCTTATCGATGCAGACCAAAATAGACGTCACTTGGCCTTCTGGGAGCTCTTACTCTGCTGATGCTACTGCTAATACTGCCACCTCTTCTGATATAAATGTTTACCACTGTTGTAATTTACTATACGTACTTCTTGATGTTTATCAACCCCTTCTTCTACAATGAGACTATATACAGCCTATTTGTTAAGTATAAATAATTATATCAACAAATAAATTTAATGTGTCTTAGGAAGGTAAAAGTAGTATTTAATTTGCTACACTAAAATATAAATTTGAATGTCAATTTCATTTTAGTCAAATTAAAAGTAGTTTATTGATGATGGTGTATAATAATTATAAAAGTAAAATATTATAATTATTATATTACTATGATGTCAACATTCTGTGTGCAAAATGAGTAACATCACTTCTCTGAGATTGTTAAGTTTTTAAACTTAATATTTTAATGTATATAAACAGTTGTTACACCTTTCATTAAGAAACTTCAAATTTTTCACTACTATGTAATGACATTTTTTAAAAAACGTTAAGTAGTTATACGTTTAAGTTCTTATTGATGTTATCACTTTGATTTTCCTTGTCTATTCGAACATCCAAAAATAACGTCTACTAGCAATTAAAAATTGCTGTCGTGAAGTTTACTTATGGATAATCTCATAATAAACACCTATGAGAACATTAATATATAAAAAAACACGTGTCATTATTATTATTTTCATTATATATTTATATAAACATTTATATAATTATAGATAGATATTGATCGACTGACTTCACTGAGTCATCTTTATATAATCACAAATATATCATCCCTATTATATCACTCAACCAGTATTTAAGAGGCCATGCAAAATGCACAGGTGGTAGTCACATTATAGTTGTATGCAAACTGTTCAATGTCAAGCAATCTGAGTGTTCACATTTGCTTTTTAGTAATATAATGAATCCTTCAAGCAAACAGGTTATTATTTATAGAGGCGCAAGCAGACTTTGTTTTAAAGAAGGTTTTTAATTTAAAACAGTTTATTTACTGTTCATTATTTTACCGTAAAACTTCAAAAAACTGTTCTATTTTTAACAAGAAAATTTATAAAAAAATTGCTGCAACTTTCAATAATAACATACAAAAGAAATTCTTCAATAATCGCTCATGGTTGCGTCATTTACTATTTGTTTATTGAGTACCACAATGTATAATAAAATCTATAACTTTATCAAATTCTACTAATTATTTTAAATATTTTTTAAAGTGTTATTTTAAGCAATTCTTAATTTGTTTAACTATATTTATATTAGTGTACTAGGTATATTTAAGGTCTTTTCTTAACATACAGAACTGTTTTTATTTTATGAAACATAATTTAACCATATAACCAGTATACAATATTATACTGTAAAATAATTTACTTGTTGTTGTTTAAAATAGATCTTAATTTAAACTTAGATTCAATGAAACCTAAATTTTATATAAATTTCAATTTTGACAAAGTATTTTACAATTTAATTTAGAATTTATTAACACTTATTGGATTATTTTATAGCTTCCAATTATGCCACCGAAGGTATAATGATTTCATTAGAATTCAAATAATTAAATATATCAAATATTTTTGTTAAAGCATCCTATGACATAACTCTATATCATCTGAATTGAATGAAGTACTAAATAGTTTTAGTTCTAATTTTAAAGTCATAGAAACTTCAAAATAATGTGGTAATATTTTAAATGGTATAGGTAATTTTACTAATTTAATTGTTTTATTTTTTATTTTATATTTTAATGATGCTAATATACAAAGTGACTAATTAACTATGCATTTGTAAAATCTTTAAAAATATAAAACAATTTTTTTCTTTTCAAAAATAAATAGTATTCTATGTTCTATAATTTTTAAATTTGGTTCTCTCCCCCCTTTCCCGTTTAAAGTAGTATTAACTTAAGTTTTTAAATGGAAACATATACAGAGTGTTCAATAAGTAAGGAAACAGGTTAATTGTTATAAACAATGAGAACAATAGAAATCCGTTTCTTTACTTACTAAACATGCTATATGTATATTGTAAAAAAAGGAATGTAACCTTACTTTCAGAATATTATCTTTTGTAGAAGTAGAAAAGAGAAATTTTAAATTTTAAATTTAATGATTTAATGTTTAAAAGCATCATTAAGTAATGGTTTCATCATAATAAATAGCAAGTGGAAAGGGGAAAAAATAAACTGTTTCACTAGAGTTTACATATCAATTTTTGATATGTCAATGAGACATTTTGAAAGTTTGGTAGGAAGTAAAAGTCAATCAATTTCACCGAACAGCTATACCAAATGATACATCACCGAAAATAATCTTATCTGAAAAGTCCTCAGATTGTGTAATAAACAATCAAATAAAAGTGACCTCTGATGTGGTAGAAGGTTACCTTCAATTTTAGTCAATGATGTTTTTGTAGTAACTTCACCTAAAAATACTTTTGTAACGTCTAATATAACACCTAGTAGTACATCTAATAATGACATATAAAACAATGATGTATATATGTCTTTACCTTATGCACCATTAGACTATAATATTTCACTTGGAATTAAATTAAAGCAGTTAATTTCTAAGTACCATATGTCACATAATTTTGTAAATGAACATCAAGTTATTTTAAGGTTTAAAGGTCTTAATCGGCCTAAGAATTTCAAAATTCTTATAAAAATTCTTAAAAACATGATATCATTAACTGTCTACCCTGGATCATTATAGTATAATGATCCAGAGTGGATCAAGTCAATCATCGAATTTTTAACTTTATTATATATATTATAATAGATACTGTGTGAAAATTTAAGATTTCTAAAATAAATTTTTAGTGGTTTCAGCGTGTTTTACTATTTTGACTAAAAATGCCATAATATCACAAAACTAATCAAACTGATCGTTTGATCATTTAAAGAGCAGTTTGATACAGGACAACAGAGATACATTTTTAGAGCAATATTTACATAAGGGTACATGTCTTCAAATCCTTCATTTTTAAGTTTTAGACACATCTCTATAATGGATTTTGGTAATTGTTCTTTAGGTAAAGTAAGTAAATGGCTACGAAAGTCGATACATTCGTTTGGAAATGATAAATCCAGATCCGTCGAAAATTGTTTTCTTAACCGTTCAGCTTTTTTCTCAAACTTCACTAATGCTTAATTCAGTTATATTAAAAAGGAGTTAAAAATTTTCATTACCAGATCATATGCAATTTTTCTTTTTCTCTACTCGGTAAGTAAGGAGTCCATGATTACAATAAAAGTGTTAATTTTAAATGACTCTTTAGAATTAAAATCAACTTCTTCAATTTTCAGTTTTGTATTTTTCTCTTAGTTTAGTATTCATTGATTCCAGATCTTGTTTTTCCAATTTTTTCATAATGATCAAAACAGTCTCTTAGATCATGGATATATTGGATATGAGTTTCTAAATCAATTGTAACTTTTTGAAGGATTTTGTTTACTTTATTAAATTGTTGTAATATATCTCTCCAAACTGTTTTTAAAATTACAATTTCTAAGCTATTTAATGTTTTTAAAATCCGTCTTGCCTCACACTGGTTTTTTGTTTTTTCGTATGGATCTTCAATAATTTGTTATAATGCTTTAATGATTTCTTCCCAATTTTGTGATATACTTAAACATGCATCATGTCGAGCCGACCACCGAGTATCAGAAAGTCTTTTTATTGATACGTTCCCAGATTCTTTTAAAAATGTAGATAAGATATTCCATCTATGGATAGAAATTGAGAAATAAACACATATGTTCAATTAAAATAAAAAAGATATTTGCCCAAGTACAACAACTTGCTGCACATTCGCCAACCTATAGTAACTCAAAAAAAAAAGGAAATTAGTGAAAACAATAATATTTTTTCATTAATAATATGATTGAAGAATAATTTATTAAAATTATTGTTATTTGTTGGTATTGTATGAGCATGAGAATAATTGAGTTACTATATTTATTGAATAAAAAAATTATATAACATAATTTTCTCTTGGGATATGAGTACAAGTGTTTATGAGAAGATGTAAAATATAGAAAAGCAAAGTGATGTTTGAAAATTTATTAATACAATAATAATTTGAAATAGAAATTATTGTGATTAATTATCACACATAGATCATCAACGCCACTCGTACCAGTAGTTATTTAGGCTTGTGCTGACTGTGAGTCGAGTCAATAAATACCTCGAGTAGTATAGGAACCACAAGTGGGTTCTCTATCTTCCAAAGAGAGTCTTTATTAGTATTGACTACACAGGTAACCCATTCTAAGATTAGACTAGGATGGCTAACTTTGTACAAACGTTATTGATTCTCTTTATTTATTTAGACAATATTTTATTCTAGAGATCACTTTATTTTTTCTGGTTTCCTACTTAATTTATGATATCAGGACTAATGTTAAAAAAATGAATATACTTCAATTTTCTATGTAAAATCGTATTTTGCCAAGCCACTTCTTGCATCCGTTGAAAGTTCATAAGGTGAAGTAATAGTGAGAGAGATTGACAGTTTTTATGCCCTTTTATATTAAATTAAATTTATCTAGCTATGCAAGAAGTGTCACGACCTTTTATTATTATCTGTTTATTACTCAGTTTGTGTTATTTATTACATATTATTTTACTTAAAATAGATAATTTGTCACAACTAAAGAATTTCTTATAATTATTAGAGTAGATTTATATCAATGTATATTTAGACATATTTCTTGGAATAGTTTAAAGTATTAATATGAATAATATTTAATTTGATGACTAATGGACAATAACATATAGACTACTGAATAATGAGTGGTGTATGTATTATAACAAACCAGATTCAACGAATGGGCTGAACAAGGGACGTAAACTACATATGTGCATGTTTTATCAATAGAACCAAAGTCCAATCTCAGAATATTATTGATAAAAAAAATTAACCAATTTATATTATTGATTATTAACAAAAAAAAAATGCTGCCCCTAAATAAATACCGCCCCCTCTAATAAGTCACTGCAACCTGGTATTTGGGATACCGATTATATTACAGAGAAATAAATTGATTTTTGACAATTCTACATTATTAAAAAAGAACTCTATGTAGCCTCTATGCTATTGAATTATGCACGCAAGATCATTTAGAATTTTGAGGGATATAAATTGTAATTATTTGATGTATCGTTGAAAAAAATAGATCAAGTGAGAGCTGAAAAAATAAATGACAGTCTCAAAAAAAAACCACAGTAAAATTTTAATACGAATAAGAAATTTTTTCTCACAATTACAGTGATAGGGTCCTTGATATTCATTGAAGTTATTGTATCTAAACGGGATAAAAATCAAATGAGTTGAAAATTTATTCCAACTCAAAAATAATTAAGAAAAAAAGCATTTTGACAGGCGGGTATGAACCTCAAACCCTGAACGTGAAGCAAAAAATTAAAATAAGTTTAACTTTATACTCTATGTCCATTAGATATATATATATATTAGTCATGAAAATCAGTGTAGAACTCTTGTAAAGTACTTCAAAATAAAATACAAAACCGAGAATTTTAACACAAAAATAGCATATTTTTCAATACGATAGCCATTTTCACCATGTTAAGTTCGAATTTTTTTTTTTTATATTACATAATCTTTAATTTAAGATGTATAAAATAGTATTCGTATTTTTGAAAAATTTTCAAAAGTAAATTTTTTGTGAAAAAGTTATCATTTTCAGCCCTCTCCCTGTCAGATTTTCAAAAAAAAATATTTGTTCGTCTACATTAATGTTGTCACCTTCGAAAAAGTCTATTAGATATCTTACACTTGTGCCAACACTTCTCAAACACCATCTTTGGGATAGCCCCCAACTTATTCAGCGATACGCTTTTAATGTCATCCTATACTTGTAAAACGACGACCCTTTAAGTTCGTCTTTATTTTTGGAAGTAAAAAAATATCACACGGGTCATGTCTGGCGAATCTGGAGGCTGGGGCATCGTTGCAGTATTGTTTTTGGCCAAAAATTCAAGAACAAGCAATGAAGAGTGAGCAGGTGCATTATCGAGGTGCAAAAGCCATGAATTGTATTGCCACAAATCTGGGCGTTTTTTCGGATTGCTTTACGTAAACGGCGTTGAACTTGTAGGCATAACTCTTTATTATCGGTTTGACTTCGCGACAGTGAGCACAACCTCACGTTCGATCGCACTTGTGAAGCCTTTTTCGGTCTAGTAAAGTGAAATTTAAAACAGTTGCGGTGACAGTTATAAAAATTATAACTGTATTATATTTTATTTCTGGTTAATTTCGGAAAAACAATTCTAGTTAATAAAATGACAAAGACAAAAATAGAAAACATTTCTTTAAATCATATTTTAGCTAATATTTTCAGAAGTATAAGTATATTACATATTTATTAAGTTTATTATATATAAACAATGTTTGTTTTTAATTTATGTTTAACAAGAACCTATTTATGAAAAATTTAGTACGCTTTTCCAAACATTATCAAAATAATTATAATTGTACTAAATATGATAAATACACAGGAGCAATCAATTGTAAATGCATGCATTATATTATATAATATACATAAGTTATCATTAACTGACCAATATACACATTTGAAAATATTTATTTATAATATTACAAACTTACAAAATAAAAACCACATGAAATGAATACTAACTAGAAGTATATTACATTATCTATAGTAATTAATGTGAAAATTAAGACACAAAATGTTAAATTGTTTAATTAAAGAAAATTGAGGTCATATGCACATCAACAATAACAATTTAAAAAAGAAACTGTACAAAAAAAAAAAAAAAAAACAAAAACCCTATTTCAATTAACTAAATTTTCATGTTAATAACATTAAAATTATATAATCTATTTTATAAAATGAATGTCGAGAGAGATTTGTTATATGTAGGAATGCTTTGTACTGTAAAATGAATTAAATAGTTTTCGAATAAAATACTAATCAATATTTTCTTGACATATTGCTCATTTTGTAACTATCATATCTATTATCACTATAACTAGTTGACATATTCATACCAATATTGGGTAAAACTTGATGATTGTTAACATACATGCTATTACTTCCAGAACTACGTCCACTACTCATAGACATCGATGATGGATTGGTTGATGAGTTACTCCATCTATTGCTAAATAATTTTTTAATTAATTTATTTATTTTTAACACAATACCATACTATTACAGTTAAAATTATCTAGTTAATATTACAATATTTTAAAGTTTAAATGATTAATTCTTATTTGAATTTTTAGTACAAAAAAAAGTTAATGAGAAGAAAAAGGATTTTTTTTAGGTTTTTAAACTTTAAAATATGACACAAATTTGCTCAAAAAGAAAAATAAATAAATAAAAAAATAACACCAAGATATATTTACATTTTTCCAATATCGTGAATTTTTCTGTATTAAACTTTTTTAATTTTATCATTCTTCATCATATTCATATAAATATAAATATTTTTTCATTAACTCTGACTTAAATATTTAATTTACAACATTTTCATCATTTTTTTTATTATAATTAGTTCTAATGTTAGTTGTAGAAATGAATGTTGAAGGAAGAAGAGGTAGAGAAAGACCAAAGAAAAAGATGGAAGAAAGATGTTATTGAATGCGATATAAGAATATCTGATGTGAGCATAGAGGATGTGGGAGATTGTGTCAAGTGGAAATTTAGAATAAGGGTGGCCGACCCCAAGTAGTTAGGATTAAGAAAGAAAGATTAAGGAAGAAGAAGAATTAGTTCTAATGTTAAAAAAAAAAAAAAAAAATTAATTCAATAATAAGATTTTACTTTAAATTTATTCAGGTTTTATTAAGTTTAGTTTTGAATTTATTCCCTTAATATCATCAATAATTATTTTATTTTAAAAGTTTATATAGATTTTTAAACCAAAAACACGGTTTTAAATTAAATAAATAACATTTTATTTAATGAATAAATATTAATATTTTTTATAGTTATATTATTTTATAATTTTTTATTAAACTTTAAAATAATTCACAATTTACTATATTTATATAAATTTTAGAATTTATTTTTATTTTTAATTTACTACATAATTTATTTGGCATTTTGATTTTGGATAATTAGTCTTCAAAACTTTAAACGGGTAAAACATACATATTGACTTTCTAGATCATTATATCTGTGAGGATAATGCAATTTAATCTTAATTACAGTATTTGTTTAAATATAATATATAATGAAAGAAAAATACATACTTATCAGTAGGGGGTTGAGGAGGACGTTGCCAAACAGATGCTTCCATTTCACGATTACTACTAGATGACCAAGGATCAGGTCTTGTACTCATAGGCATACTACTTGTTCCAGAACTTGAACCAATAGAACTAAATGAGCCTTTAATAGGTGCTGATGACCAAGTGCTATTTTCACTAGTACGAGACATTCCATAAGCTAACAACAATTTTTTGAAATATAATACATTTCAAAATATAAAAATAAAAACAAAATGAATCTTATATTAAAAAAAATAATAATATTATATTTTTGGATAATTTTTGTAAAACAAACATTTGAAACAAAATAAGTGACGTTTATTTTTGCAAAAAATTTCAGAGGAGTTTTGAAAATCTCAAAGAGAATACGTAGTCAATTTTTTTTTGTTTTACCACTACCCTTAAAATGAATAATGATTTTTTATTTTTTTTTATAATATTTAGAGCAAAACGGATCATCAAAATTATTACAAACTATATTTTTTTCTTAAAAAAATATCTCGTCACTGGTATTGTTATCAGTTCATTTTTTAAATTTAGTTATTGGTTAGGATGGAGAGGGGGTTCACCTGCAGACTATCTATAAATACAACACTGAGTAAACATTTTTTTTTTAAATATTTCTTTTTTAAAATTTATCTATTTTATTATTTACAAGGGGGATTATTAAAATAGCAACTCTTATGTACTAAGTCAACTTTTTTAATTTTGAAGATATTCCAGATATTCTGGCTTCTTTAATCCAGAATTGCTACAATTTTTAAATTCTCTATCTTGTCCATGATTTTACAGACAATATTAAAAAAAATTCTAAACTAAATATAAGGGCATTGGTATACATTATTTATTAGAGTGTGTATTTTCATCAAGCCTCCATTATTTTTATTAATGTACTAATTAAAATTTCTAAATTAATGGGAGCTGAATCCCAAAAATAATTCTTTATAACCCTTCTTATAAACCTTTAAAATAATAACGCCGTAGACATATAAATAAATGTATTTATACACAAATAACAAAATAATTATTATCTTTTTCTATGTATTTATTATCTATGAAAAACACTGATACGAAATTTTGAGGTTAAAATGTGAATATTTCAAATTTGAATAATTAGTGTGCAAATTGTGTTTTTATGTATTTATAACAAGTATTTATTTCATTCATTATTAAAGTTAACAAGTAGATTATTTAACTGTGTATGTTTCTTTTTTGATTATTGTTTTTATGACAAATCCTATAGTGCAATCCATTTAAACTATGTCGCGAGTAAGTGAAATTAAGTAATAATATCTTGCATAATATTTGTGTTATTTTTAATTCTATTTTTTATATTATTGTCTATTTCACTTTTAAGAATAAAGTTCAAGTTCTTGGTAACTCAATTTCTATAAACGAACATCAAAGTAAAATAAATAATTGCTAATGTATTAAACTTATTAAAAAGTACATTATATTCTTTATTTTGTGAAAAATCCAATTTTGCAATTATAATGTTTAATGAATATTTACAAAGATATGTAAAAAGAAAATTATATTTTTTTAATTTTTCTAAAATATTTGATAAGCAATATTTGACGATCAATCAAAGTAAGAAATTATTTTATTTTTATGAAAAAATAATTTAACAACATAAATATGTTAGAACTCTATGGATATTACATAATGCCTTGGTATACCATATTTGGAACACTGATACAAAAGATAACATATTTATAACTTCAAAATATTTTTTCTTGATAATATTCAATGTAAGATTATGGCCTTGTAAATTTCTACTAATATTTCATATAGTTATATTGATTTAGTAAAACAAAATATACATCCCATTTTTATTAATAAAATCTAAAATATATTTAAAACTTTATAGCAATAAAAGTTTTTTTAACATAGTATTATTAAATAAAATTAATTAGCCACGAGTAATCAATTTTTATTATACAGTACTGTTATAATTATTTTCAAAACCAACAAATAGAGAGATTATTTCTTGTATTCATTCAATTAAATTAAACTACTTTTCTTCTTCTTTTTTCTCACCTTTATCCCACTATTTGGATTCAACCACCCTTATCTTTAACTTAACACAATCTCTCACATCAACTGTCCTCATATTGCATTTAATTACATTCTTCTATCTCTTTTTTGGTCTTCCTTCATTTTTCATTTCCGTAACTGTTCTAAAAGCTTCCTCTCCTCTCATAACATGACCAAACAATCTAAGTCTATTTACTTTTATCTTATCTACAATTTACACTACACCTATACTCTATCATATATGTTCGTTTTTTATGTTATCTTATTTAGTTACTCCACTCATCCATCTAAGCATTTTCATCTCTGCTACACTCATTCTCTGTTCTATTCTCTTGTCAACTGCCCAACACTCTGATCCATATATCATGAATATCACTACAGTCTTATAGAAATTACTTTTCAGCCTCATTGAAATTTTCTTATTGCATAACAAACCACTTCTCTCCACTTCATCTACCTGCACTTAATCCCGTGTCTTACATCTTCTTCAATACAAACACTTTTTTGCACAACTGATCCTAAATACTTAAAACTTTCTATCTCTCTTATTACGTCTTCACTCATTGTTACTGGTCTTCTCATTTTTCTACCTCATGTTCTCCTTTGACTAACTTATACTCTACATCTACATTACTCCTACATATTCTTAATCCCTTTCCTTTAAGAGCTGATCTTTACACCTCAAGCCTTTAATTAATTTCTTTTAATATCCAGAAAAAAATAATATATTGGAAAATTTGAGACATTTATACGTCCAAAATTAATTAAAGGAGTGATTAAAAGTATTAATACTTTTCTCATGGTTTTAATAATAAATATACCAACATTCCTAATTTTCTGACCAAAATTAAAAATGTTAAAGATAAAGGTGATCACAGCTTTATATCAATTCATATTAATAAAATGCCTTAATGACACATAACTACAGATGTTTTGTAGTATAAGTTTCTTCACCAATATTTTAATGTACAGTACTCTCAATAGTCTGGCAGAAATCAGACTATTGTACTGTGATTATGGCGGTTCAAATAAAATGACATAGTATATATATTAAGGGTATTTATGGTGTGTTACATACAAAGCCGTGTTAAGAGTCAATTCTACTCAACAACAAATTATTTTTACCACTTCCATATTTTCCTAATGGATTAATATATCCAAATTAAAAATAGAGTATCAAATAGGTAGTTTTCATTTTTTTTTTTGCCAGGAGCAAATACTCCATTTACATCCATGGATAGCAAATAATATCCATTATTTAGATCTAAATTAACACATCCCTGATTATATACAAAACACATTTTCAATCAATGCACAACTCAGATACGCATCATGTAGATTTTAATAAAAATAAATTTTAAAAATCCTAAAAGCTCACTAAGACTATCATTTAATTTTAACATATTAGATAGTACTTATTTTGTTATTAAAATGAAAAATAATAGCCAGATTTTTATAGTTATCCGTTTATCATACGGCTGGATTACTGCATTTACATTACACAAATAATATTCAATATTTTTAGGAAATACAGAGTCTAGAAATCATGATAACTTACAATTTTTGCTTGAATCATAGGAAGAATGAGCATGTCTACTACTAGATTCTTTCCTACGTGAGTCTTCTCTTCTTTCAGTTCGTTCATCACGGCTTCGATAATGATGATCAGTGGGTGGTGGTGCTCCATATCTAATAAAAATGTTTGTAAAAACATTTTTAATTTGTTGATCACTTAAAATTAGTTAATATAGCATAATATAATAGTAAAAAAAACATTTTCTAGTTAAAAGTATTTCTCAGATAACATCTAGTTTAGTTCAAAGGTCTTCTTCTTCTTCCTCATCTTAATTCCAACAACTTGGGGTCAGCCACCCTTATCCTAAACTTCCACTTAACACGATCTCCCACATCCTCTACGCTCACATCAGATGTCCTCATATCGCATTCAATTTCATTCTTCTATCTCTTTTTTGGTCTTCCTTCAACATTCATTTCTATAACTGTTCTTACAGCTTCCGATTCCTCTCTCTTCATAACATGACTAAACCATCTAAGTCTACTTTTTCTCATCTTATCTACGATTGACACTACACCTATACTCCCTCTTATATGCTCGTTCCTTATCTTATCTTCTCTAGTCTCACTCCACTCATTCATCTAAGCATTCTCATCTGTGCTACACTCATTCTCTGCTCTACTTTCTTATCAACCACTCAACACTCTGAACTATACATCATAGCTTGCCTCACTACAATCTTATAGAATTTATCTTTCAGCCTCATTGGAATTCTTTTATTGCATAATATACCAGACGCTTCTCTCCACTTCACTTTCATGAACTTACTATTTATGTTAGAAAGAAAAAATAACCCACACAGTCAAAGCAACAGAAAAAACCCAAGTAGTTAAATATTTAGGCATAAAATAATCCTAACTGGAATTTACATACCACATTACTCTATTACAGTACTTATATATAAAAAAAAAAATTGATTTCAAAATCAATTTTTTGATTCAAAATGAGTCAATTCTGTACAAGAACTAACTAACTAACTAACTAACTAGAAAATTATGATACAAAAAATTTTGGCTGTCAATGGTTGAAGCCTATTTAATAAGTTTTTTGATTAACTATGATTAAAAGTTCTAAGAGTTTCAAAAGAAATATCTTTGATATAATAATAATTTATTAACTTAATATTGTAAAGTTAATTAAAAATAAAAAACCTCATGCTAACTGCAGAATCTTTGGGTCGTGAAGCTGGAGGAGGTGGTGGTGGTGGAGAAGGTCTTGAGCGACGAGTATCTGATGAATGTGATTCATAACGATGTCTAGAGGATGTTATATTAGGAGGTGGTGGAGCTGCAGGACTAATATATTCTGCACCCGATTGGCCACGAGAACCACGAATAACAGACTCCTTTCTAAAATAAAGTAAAATTAATTTTTATCATGAAACAATATTTTACTTTAGACCATACCTGTCATCATATCGAGAACTTGAAGATGAGTGTCTCTTACTAGGTGGTGGAGGTGATGGTGGTAAAGCACGCTTTAACGCTGCTTGACGTTTAGTTTCTTCTAATTTTTCTTGAGCTCTTCGTAACTCTTCTTTTTCTCTTTGTAACCTTTCTCGTTCTAAACGTTGATTTTCACGTTCTAAACGCAGTAACTCTGCTTTCTCTTTTTCAATTCTTTCACGTTCTAACCTAAGTTTTTGTCTTTCTCTATATAAAAAAAATAAAATTTTAAATAAGTTAATTATAAAATTACAGACTATTATTTAGGATTATATTATATTAAAAAAATACTTTTCTAAACGTATAGCTTCTTCTTTCTGTTTACGTTCAATTTCTAGTTGACGTTCTTTTTCAATTCTTCTTTTTCGTTCTTCTTCTCTTAATGCTCTTTCATGTTCTTTTTGTTTTTGTCTTTCACGCTCTGTCTGAAAAGATAAATTTATCACATTTATACATATGAAAATTATATAGAATTAATAGTATATTTTATAGGCAAGCAACAGAAAATAATTTTTTTATTAATAAAAATAATTGTTAAGCATACTAATCTTTTTTTTTTACAAAAATATCAATTTAACTCTAAATTTATTCTTCTATATGATTAACTGTTATTGTATACAAAATTGTTTTACTAGGTTTTCTATGCATTATGTTGATGTTCAACATAGGAATTCTCATACAAAATAATTATCACAAATTAATTAAATTAATAGCTTACATACAGGGTCAGCCTGGCATAGTAATTAGAAACCTATGTTTTGGAGCATGGGGTGCCAGGTTCAATCCCTAGGGTGTCAACAAGATTTTTCTAGTGATTTTCTCATTGATTGTGTCTGGTCTCTGGTACAAGCCAGCCATAATAGCAGTCTCGTCCATTATTTGCTTAACTAAGAACCATCTTTGATTCTTTAACAAGTGAAAGATGGTAAAAATTCTCTAAAGCACGTTAAGTTTGGAAAAAAAAAGGATGTAAAACTGATCAATTTTTAAATTAATAGCCTACATAGCTCAGTTACATCATGCTCAGTGTATAGTTACTACTCATGTTATATTCAGTTAAGATGTGTTGTGTAATATTACCAATGTTCTATACCTCAAGCATTTTTACAGAGAATATTTCATATGATTAACATAAGAAACATGATAATTTTATGTTTCTTTTCAAATAAAATACTTTTTTAAAAGATGCGTGTTTAAATATAATATGAAAAACATATTCTTACTTTGATTTTAGCATAGTTTAACATTTCTTGTTGTCGTTTTTTTTCTCTTTCTAAACGTTCCCTTTCACGTTCAAGATCTCTTAGTCGTTCTCTATCATGTTCATTACTTTTACTTTTAATACTTCTATCCTTTCTACGATCATCTTTCTCAATAACAATTTTGGAACGTTTTAACTCTTGATTTTTATCTTTTGATACTAAAAAAACGAGTTAAAAATCAAACATCATGCCATTTTTTTAAGAATTATGATAGTTATACGGCGATTGTATTTCATAAAATATTATATCAATCTTGTACAAACTAGATAATTATTTACATTGAACCATCTAGCTGTCAATAGTTGAACATTGTTTTACAAAGTTCTCAATAACCATGATATTAATATTCTGCATAGTTTATAATGAGAAATCTTTGATGATTATTATATATTAATTCAATAAAAATAATTGATTCCTATGCTAAGGGTCAAAATAATAAGTTCATAATTATTTTATAATTGAAACTCACATGACCGTTTACGATCTTTAGATACATCAACCTTTTTATCAATATCATCAATTGTAATTTCTGGTCTTTTTTCTCTTTTTTCATCTTTTTTTTCTTTTCTTTCCTCTGTTTTTTTGCTTTTTCTATCAGTTTCAGACTTATCATTTTCTTTTGCACAATCTAAATTTTTTGATGATTGTTGATAACCATTATCTCGTTTAGCCTGCAGTATAAAGAAAATTATTTTTTTATAATTTATTTAACCTTTTTAAAAAAATGAAGCAACAAGTATTTCATTATAATTTGTGTAATTTTGATAATTAATAAATATAAAAACAAATGAATAATAATAATTAAACACATCAAAAAATAGTAATAGATATAATAGTATATTATAATATTAATAAAATATTATATTAATAGTATATTATTATCTATAGTAATAGATGTAAAACATTTTTTTGTTATAATTAAACTTACTCTTTCAACGCTAATAATTCGACCATGTAACTCAGTTTGATGCAAGTGTTCAATACTTCGGTTAGCATCTTCGGCAGAAGAAAGTGTAACAAAACCATAACATCTAGCTCCTGGAGTTTTTGCATTTGTCACAACTTTGGCACCAACTACCTAATAAATCAAGAATTAAAATAAGTTAGCGTTTTCTTCAAATGGCCCAAGAATATTTTATAATTAATTTATTCAAATTAACTACTTATTGAATAAAAATATTATTTTTAATTTGTTATAACTTAATTCTACAAGTGATTTGAAGTTTATTTCTAAAAGAAAAAATAACAGTATGTAATATTTTCCCTATTTTACAAGACTTATAAAGAAAAAATGAATTATCTAAATCGGAAGGATTGCATCTTTAGGAATTTTTCAACACATAATTATAGTAAAAAAATTTTTCTTTATTACACTCTAATTATTGTAAGTAATGTAATAGATCTATTGATTAATATCAGGATATCTCCCCACTACTTTAACATATTCTAATAATTGTTGCATCTTCTGATATATTTTTTCTAGAAGCTCAGAGTTTTGATATGAATTATTTTGAAGACAAATAATAAAAACTACAATATAATAAATGAATCTTTCAGTCACAAACTAACTGTTTATGATACAACAGTTAGGGAACAATGAATGAAAATTTCTATAGCAAACATATAAATAGAAACAGATCAAAAAGATAAGTCTCAGAGTGCAGTTTGCAGATGTAGGATGAGAGTTGTATTACATTAAAATAGAAGATTCTTAAAACAATTGAAGACCCATTGCCAGATATCAGTAATAAATAAATGATATAGAACAACTTTTTTTCAAATAATAAGAAATATTATGAAAACTATTATATAATTAATGTATCTTTCGGTCACAAACTAACTGTTTATGATACAACAGTTAGGGAACAATGAATGAAAATTTCTATAGCAAACATATAAATAGAAACAGATCAAAAAGATAAGTCTCAGAGTGCAGTTTGCAAATACATAATTAATGAAGAGAATCATCTCTTTTGAGAAAAATAGTATTATCAATTTTATTAATATTTGCTCATACACTAGAAATTATTACAACTGAATCATAAATAAGCAAATAAAGAGTAATGATATACATACAATTAATAAACAAACTTAAAGTATAAGGGTTTTATAGTAACTACTATTGAAAAATATTGTTTGATCTTTATTAAAAAATTAATTTATAATATTTATTTTAAGTAAACTACTCAAAAAACATCATTTATTTATCTTAATATATAAATTTGAAAAAAAAATTTCATAAGTATTTAAGTTAAGGAAAAAAAAATTATTACTTTTTAATTCTTTGGTATTTAATTATCTATAATTTTATTAATAACAACTTTCATATAATTTATTTTTTAATTTAAATAAAAAATGTTACCTTTCCATATTTAGAAAATAACTGTTTTAGATCTGTAGCCTTGGTAATAGATGATAAACCACTAACCCAAATATTTCGAACAAGGGAAGAAGTGGAATTTTTCTTTGCTGTAAATATATAAATTTAATTTATCAAGTAAAATTTTAAGATAACAATATAATTTAACTATACACAACTTACATAAATCACTCGTAGTTGACTGTCCTTTGATTTCATTACTGTAAAAATAAAAAGGAATATTAATTTTTTAGATCTTTGAGAATATTTTTTACAATTGAAAAAATGAATACTATATATATATATTATCAACTCCAAACAAGAGCATTATTAGATTCATTTATATCATGTATTACTAAGTCTTACATACTCATACAACTTTTGAAGTATTAAATTTAAATTACATGAATGAAAGTCACTTGAAAAATGTATTGCTATTTTTACAAAATCCAACATTACAACCATTAACTAATTACAATTCTATAAAATGAATTGTTTTTGATATTTTATAATATGAAGCAATCCATATTTATTATTAATTTTTTCTTGAAGATAATTATACATTAATATCTTTATATTGTTGTGTAAGTTATATATATATAAATAATATTAAAATTGTTGATATGATTATCTATAAATAGTAATACACATAGAGTGGATATAAAACTAATGGAACATTTCTGTTGTTAATCTTCATGAAATACTCATTTCAGGATTAAAATCTAAGAGTTAATTCATGAATGTTTCTTGCTATAATTGTTGTATTTCTTCTATCTAAAAGTAAATATTAATTATAATAAAAAAAGGTATTTTTTTCTTTTTAATAAAAGCTTGAGTGTCATGTGTTCAATAATTAAATTAATTTGTCTTGATTGGTCACACACGGAATATGTTAATGCTTCAATTTTCTTTATAAAATAAACAGTATTTAATAATTGATGTTCACAAATTTGCTACATTTTCTTGCAGTTTCAATTCTGTAATTTGTTTTCTTCTCAACTAATGGATGATTCATGTTATATGATGTAAGGCAATGAAATTTTGTAATTTTCAAGTGACTTCATTGCAATCATTATGTTCATCTTAAGATTTAAAAAAGTATTCTTAAATAGTTTTAAACCTGTAATGAAAGATTTATCCCCCATAATTGATTTATAATAATAAATTGTACTAGTGTAATATTTTCACTTCCAAATTTAAAACAATACTAAAATGTTTCCAAATAAAAAGAAAATTTTAAACAATAGGACTAATAAAAAACTGAAATTGATCTTAATAAAATATTTGAAAAAGAAATAAATAAGAAACATTTACACAAATTATGATATAGTAATAAATTATTATAGGTTATAAGATGATACATCATTTAAATATTTTTTAATTTTATGAAAATTCTGTTTAATTTCTTTTGGTTAGACAAACGTATTTTCAGAAAAAAAAAGAAAGAGAAATAGTATTATAAATTAACCAGCAATTAATTTTAAATCTCTTATAATTGTATTAAGTCTTAGCCCCTCATCATTAAACAGTAAAACTTTTTAATATATTAATACATACCATAATTTCATCAATAAATAATATCCTACAAGATAATTCTTACACTAAACACAAATTCTTTTAGATATAATCTCATGTTAAAATACAAGTCCAATTTAAACATGTTGTATACATTATTTTTTATTTATTATTGCCTAAAAGACAATAATAAATCAATTTTATCACTGGAAAATAATTTGAATTTTCAGTCATACTCAAATTTCTAAAGTATTGGCATATGAACTGGTAACATTGCATCTAATACTAGATTGAACTTATTAATTTTGTTAGCAAAAATATGCCTCAAAAAATATATTATAAGAGCATATTTATATCTCCTAATCATAAAATTTGCAACTTTATAAGCCATTGAATAGGACTATTAAGATTATTTATAAATAATTTTTTGATAGTCACTGAGCAATCCTTGACATTTTATCCAATGAAGGGGAAGATGGTATCAGAAGCGTGATTGAGTGGTAAACAAACCTCTGCTTGTTGCTAACATCCACTTTATCTTTAGTTTGTTTATCCTCTTCTTTCTTCTCATTATTGATGACACTTGCATTTAGTTTAACATGAATGGTGTTTTCATCTTTGTGGCTACCTCGTGGTTTGTCTCCAACAGACATCCGCTTATCAGTAGTGTTACGTCGGTTTTTGGTTGATGCAGTTGGTGTTCTACTGCAATTGTTGTCCACATTGTTGGTATTTACAACATTGTTGCTACTGCTACTACAAGTTACTGGACGACGGGAATCTCGTGATATATTTGAAACTGCTTCTTCTTTAGTTTGATTCTCTTGCACTTCGTCTAGATTTCGTTACACAAATTAAATATACATAAAAATAAAATTTATCTAAATAATCTAGTCATTAAATGTTTATGAATAATATTAAAGCATAATTTGAACCTAATAATTTATATTTTTAAGAATATTAACAGATATTTCTTAAATAAGTAACTTAAACAAAATTAAATTAAATTTTTTTCCTAAGAATTAAAAAATTATCTGAATAATGCTATTTGAGATTAAGTCATAATTTTTTTTGAAGAATTATTCAAGTTATGCTACTTTTAAATAAAATTTTTCTTAATAAAACTATATATAAAAATTATAAAATAATTAAACAGAAAAAATATTTCAAAAATTAATACATATATGAATCATAATAAAAACTAGCTAAAGATTTCTTCTTCGCTGAGGAATGCAGAAATATGCTTGCTACATCATAACTTCTAGAATTCACATGGCACACTAACAGTATAATGACAATTTCTTAAACCAATTTATCTTCACAGAGAATATTCTTAATAGTTTTTGTTGAAAAATTGCATCAATTATTTCTCTTCTTAAGATACAACATACATATTAAATATCAATCTTAATTTAGTACACTTATCCATCAGATTTTTTTTGAAAATAATCATTAAAAATTTCTTTGAACAAAAGTAGTAAATAACACTTAGTTGAATTTTCCTATAATAATTTCTAAAATTAAAAATATAATAATAAATAAAATTATAGTTACCCTCTTTTTCAATATTTGTATCTTCCTGTCAACAAAACAAAGATATTAACTTTTTATTAATATATATATTGCTATATGTAGCAAAATATTAACTATATTATTACAGTAAAAAAAAATGTTTGTTCTGTTGTTATATTATAAGATATTATTTAGAAGTAAAAAAAAAAAAAAAAAAAAA